TAGAGTTGGGCCTCCCCGGTGGCGCAGCGGTTGAGCGCTGGGTTGCGAAGCTGCCCACAGCCTCTGCAGCACCGGTTCGATCCCCGGCTGCTCCCCGGCCACTGGAGGAGGGTCCCACATGGCGCACAGACTCTCCTGCCGCCCGCTGCTCCCCTCAGCAGTGTACTTCGGTCCTTCTGCCTGCTCTGCTCCCCGCTCTGGCCCCCTACTCATTTTTTTAATGGTGTCTTTTAATAAGCATAAATTATTTTATTTTATATATACTTTACATCATTCTTCCTTTTCGTACAATGCATGCTTTCTCTTCTCAGGTGGTTGATGAGCATAAATTCTAATGCTGATGAAGTATAATGATCATTTTTTCTTTCTTGGTTACTGCTTTCTGTGACCTAAGACATAGGTGCCCATTCCTAAGTCAAGAAAATTCCATGTTTTCCCCCCAAAAAGCTTCATGGTTTTATATTTTAAGTTTAGGTCTGTGCTCTAGCTTAAATTTTAATTAATTTTCAAATTTTTTTTACATCATTGCTCAGTTTTAAACAATATTTGCTTCCCCCCAACACCCCAGGTGTAGTCCCCATAGAGTTTCCTTCACCCGTGCACCATCACCTCAGTCCCTTGTACTCCTCCCTCTCTCCCTCTGATCCCTCTCCCTCCGCCTTCCCTGCAGGATATCTGATTTATAATTGTCCGTTTTTGCTTTGTTGTGTTTTGTACTGTTACAATTTCTTTACACTGATGTCTTGTTTGGTTCCCCTATATTCCTGCTATAAGTGAAACCATCTGATATTTTTCTTTTTCCTTCTGGCTTATTTCACTGAGCATAATTCCTTCTAGCTCCATCCATGTTGCTGTGAATAGCATGAGTTTATCTTTTTCGATTGTGGAGTAATATTCCATGGTGTATATGTACCACATCTTCCTGATCCAGTCATCTATTTTTGGGCATTTGGGTTGTTTCCAGGTTTTACCTATTGTAAATAGTGCTGCAATAAACATAGGTGGTCTTTCTTAAATTAACTCTTGTGTTTGATATGAGATAAGGGTCAAAGTTTACTTTTTTTTCCATGTATATATTCAATTATTCCAACACTATTTGTGACCAAAAAAAAAAAATTATTCTATGTATTGTATTATTTTGGCACCCTTTGTCTGATTTTTTCCACTAATTTATTGTGATGTTAGTAACACACTATCTCGATAATTGTGTATAGTAAATCTTGAAAACAGGTAACCTGAATTCTCCAATATTGTTCTTTTTCAAGATCATTTTGACCATTCAAAATCCTCTGCATTTCTATAGAATTTCAAAATCAGCCTGTCAATTTCTAGAAAAAAAGTCTATTGAAATTTTTATTGAGATTGCATTCAATCTATAAGTCAATTTGCAGAGAAATGGTTATCTTAAGCAATATAAAGTCTTCCACATACTTTTTTTTTTTTTAAATGTGGAATGAGCTGAGTTTAGGGTTTTGTTTTTTTTTTTTAATTAATTAATTTATTTATACAAGCACTGGGTACAGTCAGAAGCACGGGAGGGTGAGAGAATTCACCAGAGCCAGAACAGGGAACAGAACAGGCAGACTGATGAAATACACTGCTTGGGGGAGCAGCGGGCGGCAGGAGAGGTCTGCGTGCCATGTGGGACCCTCGCTGGTGGCCGGGAATTGAACCGTTGCTGCAGAGGCTGCGGGCAGCTTTGCAGCCCAGCGCTCAGCCGCTACGCCACAGGGGAAGCCCAGTCTTCCACATACTTTTAATGATTTAAATGTATCTGGTTATTTTCCTTAATTCCTTACTGTCTTTTTTTTTTTTTTTTTTTACTCAACATTTCATTTACTTGTCATATTCAAATAACATATTCAAATTGGAAAATCCCAATATGCAAAGTCTTTGGACATGTAAATCTGTTGTTTGTTTCTGTTGACATTAATTCATACCAGTTCATTCCCTTTAAATTCTGAGTTCATATTTCATTGAATTTAACATGTGGAAATCCTGACTGTCTACCTTGGGCTTTCTTATTCTGGAATATATTTATAATAGCTTCTTCTGGAGGCAAGAGTAAGGGGGCATGATACTGAATAGGGATAATTGTATTCCTCTTCCAGTGTCAGTGTCCTAGCTTGATGCAAAACTGCCAGGTTTAACAGGCTCTCTTTATAGAAACCAAGGCTTAATTGAGCTTACAAATCTGGTTTTCCAACTGGTGATTGCTCAGTTTGTAGAGGGATAGACCTATTTAGAGATTTCATTTTCTTTTTGGAAAAAGTCTATCAAAATTATGAATTTTTTTCTTTGTTACAATTTTCTGAGATCATTTCTGTTTCAGTGAAAGGGGCCTTTATAGCATACAGTTAATTGTAATGCTGCAAATGGATGACTACAGTAGGCTTTTAAATTATAATTTATTATGGGCCTCCCCGGTGGCGCAGCGGTTGAGCACTGGGTTGCGAAGCTGCCCGCGGCCTCTGCGGAGCCGGTTCGATCCCCGGCTGCTCCCCGGCCACCGGAGGAGGGTCCCATATGGCGCGCAGACCTCTCCTGCCGCCCGCTGCTCCCCTCAGCAGTGTACCTCGGTCCTTCTGCCTGCTCTGCTCCCCGCTCTGGCTCTGGTGAACTCTCTTACCCTCCCGTGCTCTGACTGTACCCAGTGCATGTATAAACAAAACAAACAAACAAATAAATAAATAAAACATGCCTCTATTAAAAAAAATTAAAAAAAAATAAATTATAATTTATTGTTAAAAGATCTCAGCTAAGATCTTGACACTGAAAAAGTTTTAATCATAAACCTACTAAAAATAGAAAAACTTAAGGCCATGATATTTTGGGATTTATAGCATCTCATAATAAATACTGAAATATGATGTTACTTAAAATGAGGTGGTATATAGGAATAGTCTATAAGCTTTATAAATCAGTCCTTTGAAAACTCATCCTGGCTGAAAGAACCTGACAAACAAAATAGCCCCTTGGCAGTACTCATGTTCCATTTAATTTTCCCTTGAGGAAGGAAAGACAAAATAACTTCAAGACTATGAAAACCAAATGACTAAAGTTTTTGAATCACTACCTAAAAATTAGTTCATTTAATTAATATTTCTTTCTTAAAACACCAACACAGATGTTTGGCTTCTATGCCTTGAAACTCTATGCTTTTGTAAAAATTAAGAATGTCATGTTAAATCCACAAGTGATGGTGTTATAAGAAGAATATAAATACATATAAACCCCATGTCGGTAATAAATAACTCATTAAAATAAGAATACTGACTTAATAAAATAACACTAGTGATAAGTGAGAAGAATCTCTAATGTTAAGGAACAGCATGTGCTGGAATGAAAACAGAATCTATGTATTTATAAAACAATGAATTATAAAATATTGAGTGCTTATCAGTCCAGGTATATCTGAAAGCAGCAAAAAAACTATGCATACTCCTTTTTCCCCCAGAAATATTATTCCAATGAACATGGGAAATGCTCACCAGTACGCTGCGATTTACTAATTAGTATATGCTAAAATTAACTGTAGAGAAAGCCTTTAGTTCTTGAAAAACAAAACTCCTAAAACAGTTTTTGTAGTTATACCAATTACAAGGAATCGGGAAATCACCTAATTTGTCTTCATTATTTTGTGAGAAAAATTTATCTTGTAAGATGATATAAATATTTTGAAGCCAACTAGAAAGGTTTTTTTTTTTTGTATTTTACAGATACAAAAAGTGATTAGTAAATACTGAACAGAGCAAATTCATTTATCAAGTGGATTATCTATCATTTATTGTCCTGTCTTAAAAGTACAACTGAAAACTGGCTGAAAAGCACTAGCATGAATACAGACAGTAATATATTAACTTAATTTTTAACAATGACTTATTCTCAGAAAGGTAACTTAAAAAACTATTAAGATAATCTAATATTTTATTAGTGAAAACTCTTAATATTTATGCCAAGTGATACATGTTTCTGACAGAAATGGTATGGTTACTGACTGTCTATCCTATTAGCTCTAGATGATTTAAGAACTGGTGACATACCAGTAATTATTTAATCTCCTGGAAAAATAAGATTCTCAAATAAAAGGGATAATGTGAAAGAATTAAAAATTACCTGTAGAGATGGTCCACAGGTGCATGAAAAAGTGTTTATCACTTATCATCAAGAAAACGCAAATCAAAACTACAATGAGTTACCAACTCACACTTGTGAAAATGGCCCACATTAAAACAACAACAACAACAACAAAAAAACAACAACACAGAAACAACAAGTGCTGGTGAGGCTGTGGAGAAAAAGGAACCTTCCACACCGTTGTTGGGAATGTAGACTGGTCCAGGCCCTATAAAAGGCAATGTGGAGGTTCCTCGAAAGACTGAAAATGGATCTGCCATAGGATCAAAAAATTCCATTTCTAAGCATCTACCCAAAGAACACACAAAGAAAACTAATTTGAACTGCACTCTTATGTTTATTACAGCCCTATTTACAATAGCCAAGATATGGAAAAAAACCTAAATGCCCAAAAACAGATGAGTGGACTAAGAGGGCGTGGTATATATACACAATGGAATACTGCTCAGTGATCAAAAAAGATAAACTCATGCCATTTTCAACAATAATGGATGGAGCTGGAAGAGATTATGCTAAGTGAAATATAAACAAAGAAGAGAAAGATAAATAGTGGATGGTGTCACTTATACATGGAATCTAGAGAAACCAAACAAAGGGTCAAACAAAGACAGACTGTAAAACCAATCCTTAAAAAAGTGACCATAGATCTGAGGCATCCAAGGGGGAGGAGGCAAGAGGGAGGATGAGAACAGGGGCAGAGGGTGGGGTGAAGAACACAATGGACTATTGTGGAGGAGTATGGGTGCTTTGGTAGAAAAGCTATGATGACCACACCTAAGGGGAGATATCCCATATTGTCAAAATATTAATGAAGATGTAAACCAGTGGTACTTCATTAATAAAAAACAAAACAAAAAAATTACCTGTAGCGTACAGTTCATCATCCTTATTATGTAATCAAACTGCTGATGGTCTAATATTGCCCGGTTTTGCTGGACATGCAAACCCAATTCATCAGTGAGACACTGTCTTGCTGCCTTTCCTTTAAGGGCTCTCAGTGCAGCAGGAAGGGTCTGAAGACAAGTGAGACAGAAGTAAATGAGAGGGTACAGCTGGAAAAAATAATTTTCAATCACATTGAAAACTGAGTATATAAACCATTTAACAGTTGTAAGTAGAATTAAGCTCCCAGAACAGAGTTGACTGTTAATAAAAATATAAACTAGATGGATTTATAATTCTTTTTACTTATAAGTCACAGTAAAAAATAAGTAATGGAATACATTTAAAACCATTAACCTTCACAAAAAAAAAAAAAAAGACAAAAAAAAACAACTCATCAAAACTATGGTCACCAAAGTAATTGTTAAGACCACGGACAAACTTCTTTCAATAAATGGCCATGTTTCCATGGCTAGAATAAAAGGAAAATTTAAAATGACAAAGAAAAACAAGTGATTCAATACTTTTAAACTGGTCAGCTATTTAATCATTGTCAGGTTTAATACATAACTGGAAAATTCTACAATCTCTTCTCCTCAGTCTAAAAGCAAAAGAAATAAAAGGATTCAAAGCAAGAAATATCTGGGTTCACATATTAAAACTATTTAACTTCATTCCCATATAAATGCCTGTTTCAGTTCATTATTGAATGTCTAGTCAATAGACTTTACATAAAGTAACAGGTTTACTTAACTTTGAAAACTAAATTTGCTCTTTGTTCAAAAGCTGAGAGTAGGAGGTATAATGTTTTTACAGGCAGGTATAACAACAAATAGGATGTGAAAGAGGAAAGTAAGAGAAACAAAAGAAAGTGTAAAACTTCATAAACATAAGAAAAAAATAAGACATAAGAAAAAATGGAAACCAAAAAAAACCTCAAAACATAAAGAGGCTAGCGCTCATTTAGTGTAACGGTAAAAACTTGACTCTTTACATGCTTTACTAGCCTGGGGTAGTAGACATTCAACTGTGGTAAACCTCTGAGAAAGGTTACATTGTGTTGGAAACATGTTGTATTAAAGAAGGTAGGAAAATGTACATTAATGAGGCACGTTTACATCAATGCTAAAGTTTCTATTATTTGTAGCTGATACTAACTAGATTCTTAGTAATAAATAAAATTACATTTAAAGCTTCTAAAAAAAAGTAGGCCCAAATAGGATTTAATAAACAATGTTCCAAAGTTTGAAGAAAAAAAGAGTGACTATTAATATTTCTCTGGTAGTCATAAATGATTTGGCTAAGATTTTAGATCTTAGACACTGTTCACTGAACATGATCAAAACAAGGCAAGGGCACTGAAGGAAAGGAATTGGTGAATTAGAAGGCAGCTGACCAACTGAACATCTACATCTGAAAGGGAAATGATGAATGTTTGCTTGGGAAAGATGGCATTTTATTACCTTTTCAGTCTCCAATGTTTTATTTTCAAATATGAATGAGATGCAGTTTCTAACAACTTCCAATCTCTGTGCACTATTGAAAACTGTTGTCACCTTATCCATTATTGAAACTAATAAAGGAATACAAAGAAAACACAAATAAATTTAACTTTTGGCATTTACAAAAGCAAAGGAAGATTACTGCTTATAGTTTACATGATTATAACTATTTCTACGACCAACACTTCAAATTCATTTCCCCCCCCCCCTTTGCTGCATGGCATTGAAGATATTCCATTTCATTACTTGATGACATTTTAGGTTTTGAAGTGTCATGTTAATCTATAGTATATTGAGGATAATTCACAGCATAAATTCCATTGCTACTCTTTACTCATGTAATTCATATTGCAAAGTAAAATTATATTAAGCAAAGGTAAACATCTATTTTTAACTTTAATTCTTAAATCAAGAGACTCATAATACCATACATGACAAACCCACAGTAAACATCATACAATGGTGAAAAAGCAAAAGCCTTTTCTCTAAGATCGGGTGCAAGGAAAGATGAAATATTACCATTTACAACAAAATATAAGGACACAATGTAAGAAGCTATAAGGAGCTTGAGGGAATTACGTGTAATAAAGTCAGAAAGATAAAGACAAATATTAGACAATTTTACATATATGAGTAAAATAAGGATTCAAAGCAGATCAAGTAATAAATCAAACAATAATCAAAGTGAGGTTTTTGAGATGAAGTGGGAATGAATGGGAAAAGGGTCAAAGGAGTAAGTGGTGGGGCAGAGGAGGAGAAGTTCTACATCTTTAGTGGATGTGGAGAAATCAGAACATCCATATGGTACAGCTGTTTGCAACCTGACACTTCTCTAAACATCAGAGATTTATCATATGACCTAGCAATTTTATACCTCGGTATATACCTAAGAGATCTAAAAACATGTCCACATAAAAACACACACATGAATACTCACAGCAGCATTTTTCATAGTAGCTCCAAAGGAGAAACAACCCAAATATCCACTAAATGAATAATGGATAATAAAATGTGGTATATATCCATACAATGGGATATTATTCAGCTATAAAAAGCAATGAAGTACTGATACATGCTACATGAATGAACACTGAAAATACTTTGTTAAAGAAAGAAGCAAAAGATCATGTATTATATCTTTATTTTAAAAATCCAGAAATGGTAAATCTATAAAAACAGAAAATAGATTAATGCCTAAAGCTAGGAAAGGAGTAGTTTTGGGGAATGACTGCTAATGGGTATTTCTATTTGGGGAAATGAAATGTTCTGAAATCAGATAGTGAAAATGGTTGCACAATTCTGAACAAATAGACAAATACATACCAACAGGTGGACCTGCTGGCACAACACATCTCTTTTCCACTCGAGAAGCAGGAGGTGCATTTTGGTTCTTAGCAAGGTTTTCCTGTATTAATTCCTGTACCCGGGTTTCATTAATTTTTGGGAAAGGAAGAATATGAACACGCAAGTGGGATCCTTCTGTTGGACGTGGAACTTTCTGGAATGCCATATGAGGATTTGGATTCTCCTGCAACATCAAATATAGGTGAAATTATTCCAAAGTTAAAGTAACAATGGCAAATTGTCAGGAAGGGAGTAGGAGCTAAGAGGGAGACAAACTAAAATCAGACAGATGGGAGACTGCACATAAATTCAAAAATATGCCATGAAATATAAAGTACCAGAATCTTGTTTCTTACATGATCAGCAGCATGTAATATAGCTGATCACTATTCTTACTCTTCCAAGAGCACTTTCTTCACTTGGTTTCTATTATTACATCTTTTGTCTATTTTCATCTCTCTAATCTCTTAATTATAAGGACACCCCAGGGATCCATAACTATTTGGGCCTCTTATCTATTTTTACCCACTTCCTTGGTGATCACTTCCTATCTCATCTCTTTAAAAAATAAAACACCAATGATTCACAAATTTTTATCTCAAATTGAGGTTTCTACAATGTGTAGACATAGTATTTCTACTTGGATTTAAAATAACATCTTAAATATATTCAAAATCTGTTTTAAATATATTCAAAATCTTCCAAATCTGTTTTCTACTGTGTTCCCTACTTCAGTAAATAGCATATTATTTTTTCAATCACTCCTATGAAAAGTTTAGAGTCATCTTTACTGCCTTTCTCTAATACCCAATTATCCATTCCCCTGAAAACTTTTTAGCGTTTACCTTTAAAATGGTTATCACTTGAGCACTTTTCAACATTCCCTTGTGGTTCAAGTCAGCATCTCTCACATTACTCAAGTTCAAGTCAGCATCTCTCACATTACAGTACTGTCATCTCCTAACTGGACCCTGCTTTTTCTACTCTTGCCCCTTCCCTCACCCTCACCCTATACTTAACATTGCATAGTCAAGTTAAAAACGTAAGATTATAACCTAAATACTCTGTTCATTCAAATAGCTTTCCATCTCATTCAGAGTAAAGTCCAAAGTTCTAAAATAATTTAGAAGACTTCATGAGATCTAGCCTTTCTATAAGACCATGTCATACAGCTTTTTTCATTATTCATTCTGCTCTAGCCACACAGGCCTTCTTGTTTCTACCTCAAAGGCTTTGCATTTAATTGTTCCCTGTCTAGAATGCCCCTCCCCATCCTTGCTGTCTTGTTTGCTTAAATACCATCTTTATTTACTACTCTATCTAAAATTACGCCAAGCATACTCCTTACCCTTATTAGTATATTTTCTTTTTTTTTTTTTAGCACTATCATCCTCTCACATACCATAAATTTTGTTTAACTTGTTAACTATCTGTCTTTTCTTACTAAAATGAAGCTCCACAATGACAGACACTTCAGGCAGTCAAAAAATATTTTTTCTACTCTATGTACCTACTGCACCTAGAAACTGTCTGGAAAATAGCAGGCACCCTAAATTACTTCTTACTGTTACCAAATGAGTTGGAAATAATATCCAACACATGTTAGGACTGCAATTATTAACTTGTCAGCTAATATCTTCATAGACATTTAGGGATGAATGACTTTTATCCAGTCAGTTGATTAAGTAGGATTATATTTCAAATACTACAGAGTGAAATATACCCATTTTATAAAGTTCTCTATAGAAGGTTGCTTTATCACCATTCTCAGAATAATTCTAGCATTTATCCTTTGCAACCAGAAAATTCTATCCTCCACTTACCCCTCAAACCTATGTTATTCATATTGTAGATTAAACCGAAAACTATTCCATACATTCTCTACATTAAATGGCCAGCTATCATCTACTAGAGCTACTCCTCACAATTCTTTTTAGTTTATTTGGACCAGATATAGATAAAGAAGAAACTGGGTCCTAACCATCTGTATACCTCAACAACACGATGAAAATTAAACTCCTTTGAGTATCAAAAAAAGTAGGCTCTAGTTTTGGCTATATTTGTTATATGGTGCTGGATAAATAAGTTTTCCCATTGTATATGCTAAGAAAGTGTATAGTTAAGCTTCTCTTACAAAGTTCCAGAGAAGGTGAAATCTGATATAAAATGTGTTTTTGCCAAAGTACCCCTCATTCACACTATGTACTTTTTCCTCATATCATTAGTAAAAGGAGGGAAAAATAAGTAAACTTCTATGTCAAGTCTTCATGATCACCACTTTCCATGTTCTAAAATTATGACTAGATTAACAACAGACAAATGTCACTGGTCTGCAGATGCTGAAACTGTAATTTTCTAAAAGTACTAAGTTTACTCTTCAAGTACAATGCCTTGTCAATTCAAAAATTATAAATATCAATTTTCTAAAGCTCATTAATATTTTCTTCAGGCTGGACTGGTAATTCATATGGATTTTAAGGTCTAAATCAAAATCATTTAAGGTATAGGGCCTCCCCGGTGGCGCAGCGGTTGAGCGCTGGGTTGCGAAGCTGCCCGCGGCCTCTGCGGCACCGGTTCGATCCCCGGCTGCTCCCCGGCCACCAGAGGAGGGTCCCATATGGCGCGCAGACCTCTCCTGCCGCCCGCTGCTCCCCTCAGCAGTGTACTTCGGTCCTTCTGCCTGCTCTGCTCCCCGCTCTGGTGAATTCTCTCACCCTCTGGCGCTTCTGACTGTACCCAGTGCATGTATAAACAAAAACAAACAAACAAACAAATAAATAAATAAAACATGCCTCTATTAAAAAAAATAATAATAAATAAAATAAATAAATAAAAACAAAATCATTTAAGGTATAGTCTACTTAGGTTTTTGGTTTTATTTTTTAAGATTTATTTATTTATACAAGCACTGGGTACAGTCAGAAGCGCGGGAGGGTGAGAGAATTCACCAGAGCCAGAGGGGAGAACAGAGCAGGCAGACTGACGAAGTACACTGCTGAGGGAAGCAGCAGGCCGCAGGAGAGGTCTGAGCGCCATGTGGGACCCTTGCCCAGTGGCCAGGGATCGAACCGGTGCTGCAAAGGCTGCAGGCAGCTTCGCAACCCAGGGCTCAACTGCTGCGCCACTGGGGAGGCCCAACTTAGGTTTTTACTTATTTTCTTTACAATAAAAATGAAAACTTTAAATATATTTTTCATTATATAAATTATTTTCTAAAACACAGAAAAGTAGAAACCTCAGTGATGCCCATATCTTTTCTAGCTATATTTTATCTATCTCTGTTATTATATATTTTTCTATATTGTTCTAAAAATGACTTAAGGTTGTTTGAAAAATAAGGACATACATGTTGCTTCTAATCAGAATTCTGTAATGTGACAAGTTTATTCTAAGCTTTATTAGGAAGATCAAACATCTCAAAACAGTCCAGGTAATCCTGAACAAGAATAAGTGGGGAAGTCAAGTTTCTGAATATCAAAACTTACATAAACTTAATAATAAAGAATGGCAACTGGTATCAGTGAAAGGTTAAAAGGGTTAATGGAATAGAGAACTCAGAAACAGAACTACCTGTGAAAATGTGACAAGAGACAGGTGAAGTGACAATTCATTTAGGAGGAAAGGTTAGAAACTTCAATGAGAAAAATAGTATAATGGAGCATTTTTAGTTTATAGTCTCTGATGTTAGACCACCTGGGTCAAAACCCAGTTTAGTCACTTACTAGTGGTGTGACCTGGTACAATAACAATACACTTACCACTTGTGTTTTAGTTTCTGATCTGTTATAAAGATAATAATATAGTACCTACTTCATAAGGTTCTTGTGAGGATTAGTTATTTTAGGAGTTTCTGGAACACACAGACACACACACACACACACACACACACACAATTCCCCAGAAAAAATCTGAAAGTTGTTTCCCAAAAGTCTAGGGTAGATTCATATGAAAAATTGTTATTCATAGCATATTCAATGGCATGACACCATGCCTATGAAACTAAGACCATCTTTCTCCCAAGATTCCAAACATATCATCAGTTACTTATATTTTAATGATAATAACAAACACAATAATAGTACTCAATAAGGGTTTACATGCAAATCACTTTTTTTTTTTTAAATTTGTGTATATGATCTCAACTTCTTTTTTTTTTTTTTTTTTTAAGATTTATTTATATATGCACTGGGTACAGTCAGAAGTGCGGGAGGGTGAGAGAATTCACCAGAGCCAGAGTGGGGAGCAGAACAGGCAGACTGAGGGGAGCAGCAGACACGGTGGGAGAGGTCTCTGTGCCATGTGGGACCCTCGCCCGGTGGCTGGGGATCAAACCTGTGCTGCAGAGGCTGCAGGCAGCTTCGCAGCCCAGTGCTCAACCACTGAGCCACCGGGGGAGGCCCGCAAATCACTTTTAAAGTTACAGCTATTTGTCATTGAGTGTTTTACTCTTGCAAACAATTTGGAAGATTATAAACCAAATCCATATATAATTTAAAATAATAAGCTTTTTAAAAATCATTTTAAAAGAGTTCAAAGTTAAGGCTATCCTGTAGCTGTAGAAATATTCAACACTGAAGATTGAATCCATCAGGCTATGGGTGAAATGACTAACTTAAATTCAATTGTGCTTAGAAGATTCAAGTTAAGTTCAAATCCAAAAAATCCAGTATTTGGTTTTCTGGCTGCTATGTCTGTACACTGCTGCCCTCTAACGGCAGCAAGGTAAATATAAAGGACACATTCACCACCTTACCACCCAACTTGGTCACACTTGAGAAGAGAGCAGAAATGAGAGGAACGCAACAAATTCTTAGAACATCTGGTTTTACAACTCCAAATGCATCTTGATCAATCCTTTAAAGATCACTGAGTTAATTAAAAACTGTAGCCCAATTTTGTTGTTAAATTTTCTTAAAGTAGGAAATTCATAATTTTGCAATGGAACAAAGAAGCAATCAAATATTCATCTTTGATTAAGAAAATATAAATGTAATTATCAAGTATTTAGAAAACTTAACATGGTAACAAATTTGTCCAAGGCAACCAAGATGAACCGTCCAAGAAAGCTGGCAAAATGCACTACTGGATAATGATTTCCAAGAAAGCAATCCTGTTTTAAGAATATACTATATTTGTGGGAGCATAGGCATTTTCTCAGACTTGAAAAAATGGTATACACCATCTGTGTTGAAAATATAGATTTCTCTGTCTTCTTTATTTTTTTGGCAGGCTAAATGACAATATATACTAATGCTTAAAGAAAACAAGACTGAGGATACACTTCAAGTAAAAGCAAAGCAAAGTACAGCAAAACAAAATAAAACAAAAAACCCAACCCTACTTAAATTCAAAGTAGGCAACAGGAACATTGGGGAAAAAATTTTTCTTCCTACACACTGGTTGCAGCAATGACAAATCAGTGTGAACTTGTTAGAGGTTACCAAGCTTCCTATATTAATTCAGGAATTTAATAATTACTTAATATGTACCAATTATACTTTGAGCGATGTGCGATAGCAAGCTACATGAATACTTTCAAATACAGCCAAACCGAAACACTGCTTAACAGAAATTGTTAAATAATGACAAAATGAATCTGAACTTTTTCGAGTTGTCTGACCGTGAACATAAGAGTAATGGAATAAAACATTCTCAAATTTTCATATTTATAGGCTTTTCAATGACCACTCAATTAAATTACTGTCTGATTCACATAGACAGTGAAGATTCTAAAAGTCAAAATAAGGAGAAATAGTAATAGTGACTGGGCATGGTAAGAATAGCTGCCTAGCCAATAATCTTCATGGTATATAAATCTAGCCAACACTTAATTCGTCTCTAATGGTTTATTATTTTCCTTCTATTTCACTCCAGTTTCCCACACCCCTCCTCCACCAAAGTCACCAAATACTTGTCCTAATTATTCAGGAAACTCCAGAAAGTTAAAAGAGCAGCTAACCTCAATTATAGTTCATTGTACTTTCATCTAGTCATATTCCTACAATTCATCTTTACTCACTAAAAAGCAACATAAAGGAGTGGTTTGAAGAAACTGGAAAATTTAGGTTTGTCTTTGAAGGACTTCAAAAGGAAGTGAAGGAGAGAGAGACTAGATACACATACCAGACCTCAGTGTAATAAAGTCTTTACAAACATCTGAATAGAATAACCAGATCTCAATTCTAACCCAATAATAAGGAAACAGTCAAATTATATGGTTGGTTCTTGCTTACCAAAAGGGAATTTTAGAAATGTGATTTTAAAAAAAAAAAAAAAGACTAGTTAAAAATAGAACCATCTGGATTATTTCCCTTGCATTGAGACCATCCTTTCCCCTCCCCTCAACTTCCTGCATGACCCAAGAAAGTAACTCTGCCATCATTCCCCACTTTTAACTTTGTAAAGCATTCACATCAGGAATGTTAGGACCATAATGAACTTTAAAATCTTAGAACTAGAGAAATCTTAGAATCCCAGAAAGTCTGATGACAATTCACTGGGGATTCTCAAATGCTCCCATTCAACGTCTAAGTGCACCCTCTTCTCAAGGATACAAGGGAACTAACATGCCTAGAAAATGCCTGGCACTAGTAGGTGTCTAACAAATACATAATAAATGAATAGAATTAATAAAACAGGATAGAATGATATTGTGGAAGGAAAATGTTGAAAAAGTCTCAAAAAATTTAGAATACATCTGAAAGGTGATTTCTCTCTTACTGTGTAATACAATCCCTCCTGGTACTCATTTTTTCTTTTTACAAGAAAAGTGGTGTTTATGAGGAATAAGAGCTGTGTTTATTTTATATTAACTTTAAGAATACATAATTTAAATTCTATGGGGACTACACCTGAGGGGGCTGGGGGAAGCAAACATTGTTTAAAAATGAACAATGATGTAAAAAAATTTTAAAAATTAATAAAAAAAAGAACAAAACAAAAAAAGAATACATAATTCTAGATTTTTTATTGCAGCTTTTAGTTTCACTTTGGGTTAGTGTTAAGTTACATACCATAAAATTTAAGTTCTAGAATGACAAAGAAATTTACTTTGTTTTCCACTGAAGTGACTTGGCACATTCCCCTACATAAATTGGTACTCAGTCATGTAAACCTGTTTCAGAACCCTATTTCTGGTCACTTACTGGCTATAAAATTTTGCAGTTCTGGAATAGTCTTGTGAAGACCGAAGAAATAATCACTCATCTATTAAAGGGATCAGTACAGAATCTCAAACTAATTTCCATTTGATATTTTACTCTACATTGACATCCCTCACTTAATCATAGTGGGCAAGGAAAAAAATCCTTTTTCCCTCTATCTCAACATTCCTCTGTTCTGTCTATCTCACAGGGTTATTTCAAGATCAAATACTCTCTTTACAAAGAAGAGAGTAAACTCAGTCATTGGAAACATCACTATATTTGTGATTGGTCATAACAACACTGTAGAATTGGGTAGATGAGAATGCCTGACTCTTAAAGTTCTGGATTCAATCACTTAATAGCTATACAATCCTAAGCCAATTATCCCCAGCAAAATGGGGGGCTGATACCCATCTTATGCTGTTGTTATAAGGATTAGAAATTATATATAAATGCTTAATTCCATGCCTGGTATGTCCTGCTAAACAAACTTAATATTTACTATTATCAAAATAGACCAACAGAAATATTTCATGTGGTTATGCTTTACATTAGTTTTACACAGCCATTATAAATGACATCAACGTAGAACACATATTTTCCTTTGGATAGATCTCCTTTTTTTTTTCAAATTTTCATTTACTATTCAAGAAATAGACTTGTTATATTAAACATAGTAATATGTGGAGTGTAGCGTATCAGTTCAAGATAAAATTTAAAATAACTTCAGAAATCAAATTTTAAAATAACCGAATATAAAATAAATACATTTCAGTATTTCTGCCTTTGGTTCTTAGATTTCAAATACATGTGTCAAAGCAGTGAAGCAGTGACTAATACCCTAATGCCCAAAAAGGTCCACCTATTCAAATAATTGAGCCAAACAATACCAGGATACTGAGCCCAAATCCTAAACTATATTTCCTTAAAATTACATGTACCCTCAACTTTCCCCTAGAAGACCATACTTTCCACTTACTTTCCTTATCTTAGTAAAATAATTTAACTGAAAAGCTTCAAAAGCAGGAGAAATAACTAGTAGTCACTAGCTACAACCCATTTTTCTACATAGAGTGATGTCCCACTCATCTTAAGTCCTCTTCTTTCCTGGTGTCTGAATGATTATTTTACATATTACCAAATCCCAAACTTAATGCATTTCCTTTATACAAGTAATATTTTCACCTTTCAGTTTGTATGGTCACTTGCCAATTGGCTTTCATCTTTCCACTGCTTGCAACTAAAGCAATTTTACTGACTAAATTCACAATTATGGTGCTAAGTTAAAAGCATTGCTCATTTCTGTCCAAGGTAGTACTTGTCTTTAATGAGTTAAATCTTTATGTCTTAAAATGCTCAAAATGTTCTTAGGAAGATGGAAGCCTAAATGAAAACTACAACGACAAAATGGAAAATTGTGACTAAGATGTTCTCATACTATGGTGATTAACCAGAAAATCACATTGAAAAATGAGGTCTATTTTGATGCAAAGTATGAATTGCAATATTTTGTAACACAGTCCAATTGGTTTTAAGTCAGTTAAAAAAAGATGATCACACAAAAGAGGAAGTTTTTTAGTGTTTCAACCAAATTATTTTATTACTACTTTTTAGAGTATTAGCAAAATAAATATACTTAGCTTACATTTTTGAATAGTTGCTCGGCGAGTTCTCTAACATGTTTTATCATCTTCAGTGGGTTATTTTCTTCAACTTTAATTCGCTCTACTTCAAAAGCTACCAACTTGGAAAAAGAATCAAATGGCAAAATGTTAACTCCAAAATATGCTGAATTAGAAAACTGATAATTTCACACAAGTTATAATCTAAAAAGCATTGAAAATATATCATTATTTAAAACAAAATAGATTTTTTACTGGGTTTCACCTCTAGAGTTACAAAGTCAACTGAGTCTTTACATGATCTCTGGGTCTCTCCCTGATGATTTGGGGCCCTATTTCTTCTTGGGAAAAGTCATTTCTGGAACTCAGAGATACCCCCTCTTATTCTCCAGGCCTCACTCAGAGTCCAGAAGGTCAGAAATTCTCCATACATTTCCCTAACTCAAAAAACATGAACCAAATGTTCAAGTCAGGTTGCTCAGGCTCTAGTCCTACCTCTGTTGACAATGTGATCTGGAGTCACTACTAAGCTTCAGTTTTTTTATTGTCAAAGTAAGATGGAAGAATAAAATAACCTTTAGATTCTATCTAGTCCTCAAATTATATAAACTCTAGTTCATTTCCTTAAAAATTAATTTACTGGAAGAACTGTTTGAGTATATACACTTGGAGTAGAGAAAAAAGTATAGACAAAAAAACTGAGTGGGGGGAAGGAGCAGAGTAAGAAAAGATTTTTAAAGAAGGGTATTATAAAGATTATTCCTTCTAGGAACAAACAGATTCACTGAAGCAAATAGAATTTGAAACTATGGCCTCACTTATTTTAGGTCAGGATTAAGAAAGACTATCAACAAAGACAAGAGGCTTATTTGGTAGGAGCATGGAGATAAGACAACACATAATGCAAGCTGTTTCTCAGACATCTGTATGTGTGGTAAGCTGCCACAGGCTAAATGAAAAGGAAGATCTTTTTTCTCCAGAAGCAAACATTATTTTCCTACAAAAGAACATTCTTATGGAAATCAATAAAATGACCAAATCAGGTAGAAGGAGAAATTACTTAGGTCTGGTGTCTCATTCCTTTTAGGTCCTTGGTTGAAACATAAATACAAATAAGTAGCTTTCAAGTAACAATAAAACACCAAAAATCATCACTATAGGCAGAATACAGAACTGGATGAACTCTAAAGGGAGACTCAACAGCAACTTTGGATAAAGTTCTTTCTTTATAATTGTTTCCAATCTAAATAGTGTATGTGTGTCCATGTGTACATACACACACATGCACACATATATAATGTGATATAAAGTCAGAAGTGTAAAATAAAACTTAATGAAAATTAGTTGCTCTCTAGTATACTAGAAGATGGCAAGGTAAGAGCAGAGTATAAAGAATGGAAAATCATGGTTAGACTGAAAGGTAAAGGGAGGGCACTCCAGGCAGGAGAAGGACTTAAAATTTTTCTGACTTATTAGTTGTAATGAAGCTGACAGAGGAAGTCACTAAGAAAATTCAGATAGAAAAGAAATAGATACATAAACCAACGTTACTTCAAAATACTTCAGTCTAATAAAATGTAGGAACTGAAAAGGACTTTGAGAGAACCTAATTTAATCATATAAAACATATTAACAGTTATTTAGGTCAGGATCTAAAGATTGATATATATTAGTACTAGATGACAAATGATCAATCACATTAAATGCTGATATGGGAGAATCAGTGATCAATTACTATTCAGAAAAAGGTTGTATACCTCAAGATAATCTCTCCTGAGATTTATCTCTTTATATATTTTGTGTTGTTATTCATTAAACATTTGGTGCAGGTCTCCATGCTCAGAACTAAAGCATGCACTCTTCTTTCATTCTTATCTGTGAATACCTAACTATCTTTACAGAGAAAAAAACATCCTTCACTGAACCAAGATTCGTTAAGACCATGATTCCTATCATCTCTATATAAAAAGAGATGATCACTGTTACTATTCTCCACTATCTTGAGTGCTAGGCATGTTTTTTCTTTAATAGACTTAAAGAAACTGTTAGATTTATTGGTGTCAATATGATGATCCTTCAGAAATTAAAATGTAAATAACAATCATTGATCAATCCACTAAAGTGTGCTATTGGAACATAGTTAAATGATAAAGGGGAACATGGTTTAAAATAAATCACAACTAACACAAGTCAGCACCTTTACTTTCAGTCACATTGGCCCTAATTCTCTCTTTATACGACAATTCCTTAGAGAGTAAAATCTGTTGTGTATATATTTAATATCTCCCAAAGAGGCTAAACAAATGTTGATTATTGGTCAGTCAAAACACCACAGGCTAAATCATCTTTCCAGGACACAGATAAGACTAAATGTAACTGTAGTTTGAAATAACATTAAACTGAACCTTTCCATGAAACTGATAAAGGAACCAAGGTATTATTGTTTTCAAAAATTAAGAGTTCTATATATATTTGCTCCCAATTTTTCAAAAAGATTTTAATCAACTATTTAAAATTCAGTTGCTTGAGATTTTTTATACACTTCTGAGACATCATATAATTTACTTTTTCCCCTAATTTTCTAAACTACACTTTAAATACCAAGATCTGGTAAGCATGATAGTAAATAAATATTTGGATTATTTGATATATAATTTATAATGTATTTATAACTTTTAGTTTTTTAAATATTACTCTACTTTTAACTAGCTTTTTCTATAAATAGTGCATTTATTTGATAAGAACTATACCTCATCGAAGAGATCACAGGATCTATAGGGAGGGCCTCTTTCTGAAACAAAACCTGCAAATGCCATTCCATTGAGAACTTTAGTGAGAAAATCATTCTCAACCAAACCACGCTGTCCTAAGAAAGCTGTCTGTAATAAAGAAAATTTGAGATGAGTAATTTATCATTTAGTGCTATGTGAATGGTCAAAACAGAAATACAGAAAGACCAAAGCCTGAATAAATGTGTTATTATGAAATGCAGTTTTATTTATTTATTTATTTATTTTTAAAGATTTATTTCTTCATTTATATAAGCACTGGGTACAGTCAGAAGCACGGGAGGGTGAGATAATTCACCAGAGCCAGAGCTGGGAACAGAACAGGCAGGCAGACTGACAAAATACACTACTGAGGGGGGTAGCGGGTGCAGCATGAGAGGTCTGCGCGCCATGTGGGACCCTCGCCAGCGGCCAGGGATCAAACCGGTGCTGCAGCTTCACAGACCAGCGCTCAACCGCTGCGCCACCAGGGGAGGCCCATGAAATACATTTTTAAAAAAAAAAGTTTTGAAGGCTTGAATGATTACATGTATTGGGAAGAATAAAAATGAATTTTCTATAAAGCAGGAGGAAAAATGTGTAACACTCAATCTTTAAAAAATAACCTGATTTACATTTAATATATTCTAAAGGAAAACATTCCAATTCCAAAGAATTATTTTAAATTATCATCTAACCACACAAAGCAGAGATTTTAAACACTTTCGATAAATTAAGGTAAAAAATACATGGCTAGGAAAAGATGACCAAGTTGCTTCATTAAATTAGAATTTATATTTTGTACATATACAATACAGTATTGTATTTTACCTTGTGAAAATGTATTACTGGTTCAGAGTGAATCCTTATCAGCTGTAGACATGATCTATATCCTTGGAAAAGTTGTGCAAATAACCTAAGAAAAATGGCACGCACTTCTTTATCCTGAAAATATAAGAAATATCTTAAGAAAGTGAATTTCTTTAAAAACAAATGAAATATCACAAAGTCAAAAAGTTGGAAATAACCTGAGAGATTATTTAGTAAATCTGTCTGTGTTTCCTACACACAAAGTCTCATTTGTAGTAGCCCTGAAAATGGGTACCTAGTCTATTCCACTGTTGGGACAGTCTAGGCTATTAAATAGTTACTTCTTACATTTAAAACAAATGAAACTTGCCTCTGTTTATGCGATTTTCATCATAGAATAATTCACTGAGTCTGCACTTACACCATGTTAGAACATATTTGTCAAGTCATTTGATTTTTACATTCATCAAAATGATTAGTCACAAATACAAGAGAGGAAAAAAAAACCCTCAAGATTCCAAAAGCTTATATAATTCTTCCAAAGTATATATGATTTATAAAAATCTATTCTTAAATTACTAAGTTACAGCTTAAAAAAAAAAGGATTTTAAGCTATATAAAATTAAAGAATTTTGAATTGTAAGGAAATTTAAAGCTTCAGTAAATCCCTTACTGATTCTCTCCCGTTGTCACACTGATTCTCTCCTGTTGTCAACAATCTGTTTCCATTTTTTGTAAGCTTCTTTATTTTAACTTTGCTTAATTCAAAGTTTGGCACAGTTTTCTAGGCTATGACCTGTATTTTGATTTTTGTCCTATATTTACTCATTACTCCTCAAGGACCAGTCTTAGACCTGTTACACTCCTGGTGAGTGTGCTGTTCTGTGGCTCCTCTCTTAGCAGGTTACAAGATCGCTCAATCAGTGGCAATTCTCTTAAGTTCTACCTTGGTACATTTTTTTACTAAGTTGTCCATATAACCTTAATTATGCTCAGCTTCTTTAACAACCATACAAATGAAAGGACAACTCTTTTTAAAAGTTTTGAAATTTAAATATTAAACTTCTTACCAGCATTTTTGAATGGGATAAAGCTGTTCGTGGAGGGGGGAAAGCATGATCTGCTACTTCCAAATCTGGGTGCAGAATCTAAAGTGAAGAAGTTTTGTTATGTGAAAGAGCTTAATGTCAATAAAACCTATTATTTAATCTATCGGGAGTATTAATAGATTAAAAAGTATCAGTACATAAATTATGATATATTCCCTCCATGAAATATAATGCATTTAGATGAGGCAGTCCTGTATATACAGCATTATGAAAAGATCTCCAAGAAAAATTTTCTAATGAAAAACTGTTCTAGATGAACACACACAATATGGTCTCATTTATTTGAAAATAAAACTAATTAAACCTTAAATTTGCATATGTACATGCACTGATAGGTAGGGGTGTGTGTGTGTGTGTATATATATATATATATAAAAATTGAAAATATAAATTTTGAAAGGATATACAAGATAACTATAAAATAGTTACCTCTGAAAAGGGAATGTCTAGGGCAGAATTATTTGTCTACATAGCTGAAATTATAAATTTTTTTATTCATTCATTCTTTCATTCATTCATTCATTCATTTATGCATACAAGAACTGGGGTATAAGCCAGAGGTGTAGGGAGTGAGAGAATTCACCAGAGGCAGAGTAGTGAGCAGAACAGACAGATCTACTGAAATACATTGCAGAAAGGAGCAGCGGGTAAGACAGGGGAAGTCTGCTGTGCCATGTGGATCAGCTCCCGGGCTAGGGATCAAACTCATCGAACTCATGCCACAGTGGCTGGCAACAGCTTGATAGCACTGAGACTTAAAAACCTGTGCCACCAGGGAGGCCCATAGCTGAAATATTTAAAGAAGCACTTGTTTTTATGTTTCTTAGTGTAACAAAAATTAATTAGCTAATTAATTAACTGAAATACCAAAGAGGAAATAAATGTATGAACTTCACAATCCAGGAAAAATAAAATCCAATAGGACAAGTAGTATAAATATATAGAGAGTAATATATGAAATAAAAAAATGGAATTAATTCAACCCAAGGAAAGCTTAAAAATAGAGAAGAAATAGGAAAGAAAGGTCCATGCAGGACTTACACAGAGAAAAGATGGAATTGCATCAGTATTCAATAAAGTTTTATCTTTGCAGATTCATTTTCAAATCCTCAGATTTTGGTAACATACTTAAAATAGACCCAATGACACAAAATAGTACTGTAAAATAACCATAGAAGATCATTCATTCTTATAACCCAATCATTCAATCATTATTACCACATAATAATGTCTTCATGACTATAAAATCATCTGTGGTGATTATATATTAAAGTACTATGTTGCCATTTGCTTATAATTATTTTCTAATCAGGGCCTCCCTGGTGGCACAAAGGGTTAAGCACCACACTATGAAGCAATCTGCAGCCTCTGCAGCACGTGTTCAATCTCCAGCCAGCGAGGAAGAAACCCACATGGTGCAGCAGACCTCTCCTGTCTTGCCCGCTGCTCCCCTCTGTAGTGTATTTCAGTTGGTCTGCCTGTTCTGTTCCCCATTCTGTCTCTGGTGAGTCCTCTCACCCCCCACACCTCTGGCCTGTACTCCAGTTCTTGTATGCATAAATAAATCTTTAAAAAAAAATATTTTCTAATCAAATGAAGCTCAGGTACTCATGTGTCAAAACTCCCCTGCAGTCCATCAAATGTGATTTTTTTTGATCCTCATTTGACAATATACTATGCTTTTATGTCTTATCATACATTAGGTAGCACAATAATAAGTTTTAAAAAGAAAAAAACATTTTATTTCACTGATATTTTAGGTACTTCAGTATTCAGTACATAGTAAATTCTAAATAAATACACTAAATGAAAGTATGACAAATATTTGGTTAGAATTCAAACTATAGTCTTTAGGGTATATCAAAAGAATTTTACTCTAAATACATAATAGTTATTCCATTGTGTATATATATTACATCTTTTTTATCCACCCATCCATTGATAGGCACTTAGGTTGTTTCCAACTCTTAGACTTTTGGTGACTAGCAAAATATAGTAAATAAAAAGGATGATATATAAGTCAGTATATCCAAAATCTATATATTATTATAAACCAATGTTACTTCTATTGAAATAAAGCCATGAGAATATATATATTCATGTTTTAAGAACATATACCTTTTTAAATAATTATAAATGATATCTAACTGCAACTACTTTATATTTAAATTGAGAAAATTACTTTTAAAAAATGTCATACCAAAGAAAGAGCTGCTTGAGTCTGATGTAGGAGTGGTTCCGGGAGGGAAGAGAGATGAATGCATTCAGGAATTTTAATAGTGCCACCATCCAAATCTGCTATGATAACATCTAACTAAAAGAGACAAAAGAGTTAATCTATATTAAAAAAAAAAAGTATCTGTTAGGTAAATTAGTTTGGGCGTTACTAAATCACAATGACAAGAGGCAGTATGGAAGAAACTCTTATCTGCACACACAGTAACAGTTTGCTGGGTACATAGCTTCTATTTCCCAGTTTCCCTTGAAAAATTAAATGTGACTCAGCTTCTGCCAATGGAATGTATGAATAATATGTATGATTCAGGCTTTCAAAATAGAGGGGAGGTAAAATTCTCCTATATTCTCTTTCTCCTTCTCATGTAAGGGTGGGCAGCAACCCAACCTTGAACACTGATGATGACATTCATCTGATGAGGGGATTCTGGCAGAGACAAAAAAGGAAATAAGCTTGCTCTCATAGGTTCTGGTCTGCCATATTGGAATACCTCTATGGACTGCTGAATTAGTATTAAATAAAATTCCATTTTGCTTGAGTCATTGCATTTGGATACTTTATTACAGAAGTTTAGTCACATCCTAAATTACATTGCAATCATTACAATAAGCAAAGTAATTACAATCATTACAATAAGCAAAGTAATTAATAGATATCAAAATGGTACTGTTTAGGTGTTTAAGAAAGTGATTTTTAATGTTTTTTTATAAATCTATTTTAAAATAACTTAGATAAAAATGTAACAAAGAACCTAGCCAAGATTGTTGAGGTTTTTATGTTGATAATGACTAAAATTCATTCTAATTTAGTCAATAAAAATTTACTTTTGGCAAACCTTGGCTTGTCCTACCTCTAGAGATGATTTATATTTAGTGGGAAAAAGTTACCTACAAATCAGACAGCTATGCTTCTAATTAATGCAAACTACATCTTGTTGAATACATTTATTGATTTACATGGGCTTATTGTGATATCAAAGTTAAATAAGAACTAGATATCAACAGATAAGGTTAGGAAGAATGATTAATATATGAATGAAGATCCTGTTGATAATTACAATTGAGTAGTTATTTGTCAATTTAAATGACACCTATGGTTTGATCACAATTGCAGTTACATTGTAAGTACCAACAGAGCTACTTCTTTGCTGTCATTTAAAACTAAGACAAAGGTAGACATACAAAATCTTAATGATCTGTGGATCACAAATATCATACAGCCTAACTTCTTAACCTAACCTTTTAATATAGAACTTTTTTCTTTTGAATAATAGAACTACTTTTAAACATTTTGAGATGAACCCCACAGGAGTGAAAAATACTGGGAAGGGGGTAATCCCCTTACCACTAGGAATGGCCCAAGGAAAGAGAAACTACCTGAAGGAAGGAAGCACAAAAAGCATCCCTTTGCAGATTCAGGCAGGGTAAAGAGAATGCCATTAAGTGCTGGGACCTGTGCGCACTACAGGAGACAGGAGCATACATCACACAGAGCTACTTGGGTTCCTCTTTCCTTATTATTTGCCTTTCTCTGCTCCCGCTGCATGATATCTGAGTCCATCCGCATGCAAGCACAAGCAGAAAGGCCTTCATCTCTAAGCACTCCCTTCAGTGAGTCACTTGGTTTGCATGCACTGTCCTACCCAACTTCCACCTTCCACCCTGTAAAGTATCATGCAATCTATTCCTTGTCTTCTACTTAAAGTGAGTGAGAATAGAGGCCTCACGTAAGGAAACCCATTCATCATCTTTGGGCATCTCTAACATCAATAGTTGAAAACTCATGCTGAGTAGAAATTTGTTTCCATATTCACTGTTCTATTGCTGCCTTTGAGAGCTACGAAAGGGGGAAAAAAAGAATCTTACCCTTCTTTCCTACAACCACCATTTAAATAGTTACCTTTAGTTATAAAATAATATCAGGTTATTAACTTAGAAAATTTCCTTAGAGACTCCTAGGACATAATTTCTAAACTCTGGAGCACTTTATTTAGCCATAGTCCCTCTTAAAGTATAGTACGGAGAAATAAACGTATTATTTCAGAACTGGCTTGAATGTTGAGTATTACTTTTCCTCTGGTATTTCTAATTACGTGGCATTAAGAATACAATAATTTAGTGAGGCTCACACTAAAGCTGTCTCCCACTAAAACCCCACATTCTTCTTTTTAGTCATCATTCAGTATTAACATAAGTCTCATTTCAAACTATGAATTAAAGCACTAATAACAAAATATAAATAGAATACTAATTAACATACTATCCTCCTTTCTTATATATAAAATGAAGACTCAGAAAGATAACTTAGCATGTAAAAAGAAACTTATTTTAAAATATTAATGAATTAATTTTGTCTATCTTCCCAGACTTGCTATAGAGTAAAATTAATGTTTAGATTTTTTTCAATGATGCTTTTCTTCCAGTCAATCTTTTCTATTGGGAATACAACAGATTTAAAAATAGTAACTAGCTGAAATGTTACAGGACTCCATTGAGACCTCTGGCCTCAATAATTGACAATTTAAAGATAAATACTTACAAGTTCGTGGATATCAGTTTTAAAAATAGAATGTACTCCAATAATGAAAGGTGTTGGGGAACTTAGAACTTCCAGTAGCTGAGCTGGCAGAATGGGAATGTAGGGGTAACTGGGAAAAATAAAAATATATGTCAGATATATTTGTTTTTCCATAATATAATATTTTTCTTTCATTTTTATGTTGTATAAATTTTAGATGACCTGTGTTTAAAAATTATCATTAATAATTTCTTGATTGTCAATATTAAATTATTAAAAGATTAAAAAAAACTTCATGGTCAGATATAACAACATATAAGTAAATGGTACCGGGGACAGTGTCTTTATCCCTATCCCACCTTGGCAAGCAGTCCCTTATGGGTTTTTTTCTTATGTAGAAATGAGACATCAGATGGTGACACCGACTCCTTGATGGACCCTACCCTTCAATATTTGGTGATTTGCCTATATGAAACAATCACTCAAATACCATTTTTTATATTTGATTTTTGCATTAAGTATGGCAAAGTATAAAAATTAATGCCTAAAATGTCCTACCTTAAATAGGGGTTAAGAAATCGCATATATAAAACAGCATTTTTTTTATTATTTTATATATTTTTTAGATCATTCCTCATTTTTGTACAAAGTATGCTTTCTCCTCTCAGCTGTAGTCCCCATGAAATTCCCATCACTCAGTCACCCATGCACTATCACTATCGTCCCTTTTGCTCTTCCCACCCATTTTGATCCTACTCCCTCATCCTTCCCTGCAGAATGTCTCTAAATTATAGTTGCCTATAAAATGATTTTTTAAAGAAAACCTAGAGACAGTCTAAATTACTTTCTAGTTTGCATGAACTTAAATTTCCTAAATGCTGATTATCAAATTGGTAATAAACATATTAGAATATACTAGAGTTAGAACACTTGCAGGCATTGCTATTTAGGATGATTCAAACTCTCCCCACCTCCCCAAAAAAAATCAGAACGGGGGAAAAAAAAAAAAGAGAATGAAGTCCCATGTATTCATCTCTGACAATGATCAATGCATGATTACATACATATTTCTATCCATTTTTATACTCTTCCTTATACTGTATGAAGCAAATCCCAGACATCATATCACATATATATAGTAGGCATCTAAAAAAGGGTCCCTTTTGATAAATAGAACCATAATACCATTATAACTCCCAGGACCAACAATTTCTTAATATCTAATAATCAAACAGCACTAACTGAAGACTTCTATTACCAACTGTATCCAAAGAGAATTAAGTGTTGCTGACAACACTATTTTTTAGGAAATTAATCAACAGTCAGTAATGGATAACTTGGAGAAGTTCCAAATTCTAGGCTAGATTTCTATCAGATCATGACTCTTATAACAGCATAACTTTGTAAAATATGCCCTTGGGATTCAAAATTAGTGTCCTACAATGTTTTGACTAATTTTAAGTAATGCATAAATTAGAAATAAGAGCATTATGTAAAAATATCTCACCTATATTTAAGAGGAAACATTAAAGATTCCAGGGCTCTACAAGCATCACTAAGTCGCTGAAAACTTGCAGAATGGAAGAGAACCTTATTTTCTGTAAGAACTGCACAAAAGAGGCTGAGGACATTTTGAATTCCTGAAAACACAAGAACAAATGCTTACAAAATACATTTAATTTTATATGTATTGCTAACAAACAGACTCAGAATGATATGGAATAAAAGAGTCAATTATTTTTTAAATCCCTGAAGAAAACAATTCAGTTAAACTATAAATTCCATATAATCTATGGGTATTTGTCTTTCCCAACTTTTTGTCTTTCTTCACTCAATATAACATGCATTGAAAAAAAAAATATATAACACACTATTACCTTCTCAACTTCACCCCCCAGATCTATACTTAAGTTCATATTTTAAATGCTAGCACTGTTTTAATTACTTTTTTCCCCTTTAAAATCATTCAAATCACATCAGTGGATCTGATATTAATCAGATGTTAATATAACTGTATCAGCTTTGTTGTTGAAATTTTTCTGGTATACCTTTTTCCATCTTTTTTACTTGGACCTTTCTCTATTTCTTTTAAATTGCATATAGTTGACATTTTAAAAAATCTAGTCTGACAACCTTTATCTTTTAACTAGATCACTTCATCAACTTATACTTACTGTTAATAATTCCTACATACATTTATAAAGATTATTTTATACTTTCTGTTGTCTCATTCTTCCCTTTTATGATTTCTAATTACCCTGTCATATCTTTTATGCCCTCTAATATGGAATTTGTATTTTGTTTCAATTTTTTTTATTGGAAACTCTGGAAGTTCAGCATATATATCTCTCAAATTGAAGCTAAATAAGACATGATATCCTACTTCCTCCTTTTTATTACTGAATCCTTTTTTAAAAAAACAAAACAAAACACCCTCCCACCCATCTATTATATGCCCCTCACCCTTACTCTTACCCATCACCCTCTTTACCTACGGTAACCCATTTGGATTATCAATGTCGTCTAGCTTATTTTATTTGTCCATTTATATCGCTTCTTTATATTGCACATATAGGTAAAATCATTCAATATTTGTCACTATCTTTCTAGCCAATTTTGCTTTGCAAAAATCCCCTTGAATTCCTTCTATATTGCTGTAAATGGCAACAATTCATTTTTTGTCATCGCTTAAAGGTATTCCGTTGTGTGTGTATATATATATATATATATACACATTTTCTTTACTGAATCATCTTTCTATATATCAGTTCAAATTTATTACATGAGCACACTAAATCAAGAGTTCCCTTAAGCTTTATGAAGGCACTTTTTTTATATCTCTCCTTACCCTTCACATGATATATGCAAATTTATTCCATATGATACACCTGAATATACAGTTTAAATTTTTAATCTTTTCTCATTTGGACTAAGGTAAGAGTTTCATAACTGGTTCCCCTAATCCAGTCCTTTACTGACTTCAAATCTATCTTCCAGAGAGTTTCGAGCATGATAGACATAAAACACAAATCTAAAAGTCACTATTATGTATCAAACACTGTAGGATCTCATCCTTTTTCAGTGATTTTTCTGCTCAAAAGCAGCAATTCAGTAAGTCAAACTTTAATTCAACATTTTCTTAATCTCGCTGAGTCTTAGCTGTAAAGTAAGGATAATATTAAAACATATCTTAGGAGTTGTAATTAAAAAATGAGATAAAGAATGCAAAGAATTCTTAGCACAGTACCATTGTAAATAATCAAGATATTATAGTATTATTGTAATAGTTGTCATCATTAATTTCCTTTGAAGTTAGGATTCTGAGGCTAAAAATGTTTGAAAACACCTATAGTCACAACTCCATGCCAAAATGCCTTCACAGGCACACTCCCATCCTTCCAACCCAGCTGCCACCTTCCATACCTGTGTGATCAATATTGAATAAATAAAGCTCTCAGAACACTTCTTTGAGCTTGATATCCTAGTTTCTTTTCCTATGTTCTTCCTGCCTGATGTTCCCTTCACTAAAATGTGAGTTCCTCAAAGCTAACAATAGGACTTATACACCACAATATCCCTCCTGCCTAGCCCAGCACCTCTACACAGCACGTACTCATTAAGAATGTTTAACTGAAGTGAGAAGCTCTCTGAATGGTGACATGAGTCACTACTAAAAGATGTTAAAACTTTCATTAAAAGATGTTGAAGAATATCTTTATAAATTCAGCAGTAAAAGTTTAAAATACACAAATTATAAATGAAAAAAATAAATTCAGGTACTTAAGTTGAAAATGTCTCCATCAAAAAATATTAAATAAGACAAGTCTCACACTAGAGAAATTATCAAGAAAGCAATATAAATGTAAAAGGATAAGAGTCTAAAACATATTTTTAATGGTCCCCACTAATGATCCCCCACTAAAATCAATAGGAAGAAAGCAACTTAAGAGACTATGAATTTATAACCTACAGTTGAATCCAGAACACTAATATGAAGATGCTCCAACATCTAGAACAAGAAAAGTCAACCTAATATATTTATGAAATATGATTATGATTGTGATTATGAATATGATTATGAAATATGATTTAAAACCCATCACAATAGCTAAAACTTAAACTTGAGAGTTCTAAGTTTTTATAAGAAGTATGAAAAGGAGCTATCAGACCTGCTGCTGTGAATACAAATAAAGATTCACATACTTATGTCCTAGTTATTACAGCAATTCTAAGTTATTTATCACAGACACTTTAAAAATTAAATTTTTTATTCCGGGAAAGTTGGTTTACAGCACTGAATATGGTTTAGGAGTAAAGGTTCACAACTCTCAGATGTATGTTACCGTACCATGTCCATCATCAGAATACTATAAGGCCATAGATCCTACCCACATCCATCCCTTCTAGTAGAGTCAATTCTGTAATCAAATTCCTATGGTTTGTTTGGACTTATTATTGTCTATTCCTTTGCCATGGTTTTTACTCCACATGTGAGTGAAATCATCTGGTATTGCCTTTCTACTTCTGACTTAACACAATCCCCTCCAGTTGTCAAAAATGGCAAGATTTCATCTCGTTATAGCTGGACACACTCTCTTTTGTACCCAAGTAGTACATTGTAACAGTACTTGACCAAAAAAGTGGAGACATCCTAAATATGAAAAAGAATGAAGAAGTTGTGATAAAATCACACTAAAAAAATTAAAAGTAAAAATTTTTCAAAATTTATATAACTAAATGATTATTAAAGAAATTGAAATACAATTTTCAAGTGGCATGGATTGGGGGTTAATCTATAGTATTTATACTTATGAATTTAATATAGATTAATAGTGCTCGAAATATACTACTATATAACAAATATAAATATAATTCTACATAATGATTATGTAGAATGATAGCATGTATTGTGTAAAATCATATAAAACACCACTACAGAATATATATAAATATGTATTATATTTATAAATTTATGAACATACAGTCAAAGGTATGAAGACATGTTTGGAACTAATAAAATTCAGGAGACTTTACTTCTGGGAAGAGTAGACATACGTAAGAAATTTCAACATTATTGTATTTATTAAGTTGGATTGTGGTTACATGGATTTTTAAATATTCCCTTGGAAATAATTTAAAACTCACAGAAAAGTTATATGAATAATAGTGAATAGGGCACCCATACAGTCTTTACCATGATTTACCTATTGTTAAGATTTTACTCCATCTGCTTTAACATTTGTACTCATGTGTTAGTGCATACTCTTTCTAAACACATATACACTTAACTTTTTCTGAGTGACAAAGTGTACTTATGTACACTGCACCTTATGGCATTTACCACTAAATACTTCAGTATGTTTTTTAAGAATAATTTGTTACATACCTCAGTATAGTTAGGACCATAAGCAAATTTAACATTGTTACACTATTTCAAGTCTAACCTTACACATGTATTCCAATTCTGTCAGTTGATTCAATGATATTCATTAGAGAATTTTCCCTACAGAAAGGATTCATTCTATGATCAGAATTGATAAGTGTTAACTGTTTTTTCACATGCCTGTTGGCCACCTTTATGCCTTTGAAGAAGTGTCTATTTAGCTCCTCTGACCATTTTTTGGATTGAGTTGTTTTCTGTTTGCTGAGTTGTATGAGTTCTTTGTAGCTCTTTTATATCAGTCCCTTGTCAGGTATATGGTGTGCAAATATTTTTTCCCATTCAGTAGGGTGTCTCTTCATATTAGTTATGGTTTCTTTCACTGTGTAGAAGCTTTGTAGTTTGATGTAGTCCCAAGTGTTTATATTCTGCTTCCCTTGCTGTTGGGGATGAATCCACAAAGATCTCTCTACAGCTTATGTCATGGAATATTTAGTCTATGCTTTCTTCTATGTATTTATGGTTTCAGGTGTTACCTACAAGTCTTTTACTCATTTTGAGTTGACTTTCATGTGTGTTATGAGGTAGTTGCCTAATTTCATTCTTCTCATGCAGCAGCCCAATTTTCTCAACACCATTTATTGAAGAGGCTTTCCTGTTCTAGTGTATATTCTTTGCTCCTTTGTCATAGGTTAGCTGTCCATGTATGTGTGGGTTATTTCTGGGATCTCAATTCATTGGTCTGTGTGTCTCTGTCTATTCCAGTATGACGGGTTGGAGGGTTTAACTAAGTTTATAGTCATTTTACAATATATATGCAGCAAATTGTGGTGTAAATAATAAACTTATATATGTGACATCTAAATAACATCCCATAAAACTGGGGAAGGAAAGTATAAAAACAGATGAGACAACAATAACGTTAACTAGGGAAATGGAGTAATGATAGCTGAAGGTCCAAGATCATTTTAGTCTATGACTTTTAAAATACATAATAGAGTACATTGTACAACCTGGGGAATAAGTACTCTAGAACTAGTATGTTTACAGTTATATTCCAAATTATAGGTAAACAAATATGACAAAAGATTCCCTGAGAATTTCACAAAATTAGTTGATGAAGGTGGGGCACCCAAATCAAAAAGCACTGAGTTAGAGGAAAATATCACAGGGACTATAAAAACCAGTTCCTGTGAATACAATCTTATTAACATAAAAAATAAGAATACAGTTTTATGCACTTAAAATAGAAATCTTCAG